TCAAAGAGTACGCAAATGCAAGCCTCCCAATTGTCAACATCCCAAATCAGCTCGTGCAAAAGAATTTCCAGTCTAGAATTATCTTAGTACACGTTTTTTCATCTTATCACAAGTCTAGCATGGTCAATATAATACTATGAAAACCATTGCTTGTGTTTTCATGGTGTGTTTCATCTGTCCGATAATTTTTTTCTTCTCATAGTCACATCGAAAAAAGTATAGATTTCACTAATTCAAGAAGGAGGGGGCGAGACATTAAATTTATTTCTGAAAATGAGTGGTGGGTGTAGTGACGTGGTTAATGCAGTGTAATCTGCATCTTCAGAATGAGAACTAAAATAATTTATTTCCAAACATTCTTAAATTCTAGTTCATACCAAACTCACTACTTTGACGTCAAAAGTGTAATTCGATTCCAATAACATTACAACTACATACATTTGTGCCTCTTCTTATTGTTAATATCTTCACAGACTTGCTAAAATTTCAATGACTTGAAGAAACCTACAGTATAATTTTTTATGCTGGGATGTTAAATCCATGTTCAAAATCTTCAGACAAATCCGTGGTTCCGGAGCCAAGCTGCATTACCTTTGCTGATTGTAGGGTAGACACTGCCCATTTGAAGTCAAGTGTTTATCTGGATTTTCAGGCTTCCTTCACCTAAAGGTTTCTCCTTCACATTCAAGCCTCCACATGCCACAATCTTCATCGTCTTGGCTGGTACTGGCATCAATCGGGAAGCCACTATCACGAGCACAGCACGCTTGTCGTGGTTGTGAGAGAACTAGAACATTGTTTTATCTGTTATTGGTATTAGTTGCACTTGCAGAAAAATAGATGAAGTGATTTTGCACGTATTTCAAACGAACAATTTTTAAAGTTATTGCGACTTTAAATATATATTGTTATATGAATATAATTGATAAAATTTTACTTCAGCAGTGAAGACGAATGAAACCATTAATTTTAATATTTTTAACTGTAATCACTAGTGAAAACAATAGAAGTTTGTGAGAGACGTTCCCAGATTTACGTTAAATGAAAAATTAAAGCCATCGTTCCTCATGTGTTTAGAAGTGTATTGTGGGTTGTTTCATAACTTTTGGGGCCCTCGAGTGGCCAAGTGGTCTAAAGCGCTCTCCGTTACGGATCACTGTCATCTTCACCTCTGTAGGCGTGGGTTCGAGTCTAAGATTCGGCGAATGTGGATATGTGAGAAAGCTTGCCAGTAGTTTCTTGAGGGTCGGTGGTTCTTTCTGCGGATTTCCCGGATTCTTTGTCCATCATTAATACTGGCCCAAAAACAACAACAACAACATGATTTTTGTTATGTCTTACGTGATTTGCATGCCCAAAAGGATCAAGTTAATTTATATCATACCAAATTTATCAGTGACTATGGTTTAAAAACGAAATATGTACAGTATGAACAAAACTTTAACACGTCTAGGCTTGATTCTCTAACAAAGCCCTCCGTCATTCTTTTTTTTCTGTAACACTCCTAGGCCAATATGGAATCAGTTCGATCAGACGGGGTGTGGGAACACATAAGCACAGAGTAAAACACATAAGCACAGAGTAAAACACATTAGCACAGAGTAAAACATATAAGCACAGAGTAAAACACATAAGCACAAAGTAAAACATAAGCACAGAGTAAAACACATAAGCACAGAGTAAAACACATAAGCACATAGTAAACACATCAGAATAAACACATAAGCAAAGAGTAAAACATATAAGCACAGAGTAAAACACATAAGCACAAAGTAAAACACATAAGCACATAGTAAACACATCAGAGTAAACACATAAGCACAGAGTAAAACATATAAGCACAGAGTAAAACACATAAGCACAGAGTAAAACACATAAGCACAGAGTAAACACTTTATTACATTACAGTGAGCATTAAATGATATTTGTCTCCAATAGCAGTTATATCCCATATCATATGCATCCTGCCTTTTCCGAGCATATGCAAGTATTTACCAAATTCGAAGTGAAAATTTGTATCATAAGTTATAGACATAAGAGAATGTGCATTTGTGTGTATGTGTGTGTATATTTTTTGTAGCTTTAACAATTTTTCAGTCATATGGTTACAACGACTGCAGTGTGACATTTTATAGTGATGTCTAGCATCGGGACATCATGCCACAGACATGTAGCATGATGTCCCACCATGTCACATTACCCTGACATCAGGACGACCAGTCCTAACACTAATCTTTTAATGTTGAGCGTTTGGCGAAGCAGCTGTAAGTAACATGTATGTAAGTCTTTGGTATGACTCAGCCGGTGTTCGAACCTGCGACCTCCCGCCTCTGAGGTGAACATTCTAACCACTAGGTCACCGGAGCGGTCTGTAAAAAGAGAAGATAAAGCGGCAACGTCGATATATGGTATAGAACTTAGAAATCTGCCCATTTATTCCAATGCAAACGAAATTGTCTGCATCTACCGTTTGGCAAAACTGGCTTTTAATAAAGACAATACTTTCACTTGACCATTTATACAAAGAGGTGCAAATAAACGTTAAAATATAAAATATTTGCTCTTTTGAAAGTTTCGGTAGAAAAACTCAGTTGATACTTAAAGTCTAGTCCCTGACCAAAGCAACCGTTTACAGTATCTGTTGCAACAGCTATATTTAACAACGAAATTCAAAATGACTACATGATGTACGGTTATGTTATTCGTGTGGATCTGCAAGTTGTCAAACGTAAGGTGTGATCATATCGTGGAAATGAACTTTCAACCGACCGTAACGCAAAAGCCGCAAAAAAATTAAATGAAGTAAAATCCTATAATGTACATAGATGTGTTGGGAATACACTTGTCTGCACCAATTGCACGAATAAATGAAAGAATTAATCAGACCTAAAAACTGTCCATTCGTACATGCTTGGGGGCTGAATTATAAGTATAACTCAACGAAAGCTAGATTATCTTAAAAGAATTATGACCAGGAAGCTACAGGTTTAATGTCTCACTTCATGATCATTCGGAAATGGTTACAGTAGTTTCGCCTTGAGCAAGACATTTTATACTACCCGTGTTGCTGTTCTCTAAAACACTACCTACCCGGAAGTAATTGTTTATTCAACTATGGACCTTGGGGTAAATTCTCTTCACCTCATCATCAGTTTTATTATTCGCACTTGTTCCGTAGATTAAAACCATCTCTCTCTCTCTCTCTCTCTCTCTCTCTCTCTCTCTCTCTCTCTCTCTCTCTCTCTCTCTCTCTCTCTCTCTCTCTCTCTCTCTCTCTCTCTCTCTCTCTCTCTCTCTCTCTCTCTCTCTCTCTCTCTCACACACACATTTTCAAAGCATTTCTTTTCAGGTGGAATTACAGACTATATCTTTATTTCTCCAAAATGTCGAACTAACATGTATGTATGATACAGGAAAAGCTATGCCATTTGGGTAATCTTTTTTGTCGAATAATAAACAATAAAAAAGAGTCTATTTTGAATTTATGGATGTATTTATGTGTAAACTTTGAGAGGTTCATCTTAATTTTGGAAGTTTCCTACACAAATATTGCTTCGAAGCAAAACGAATCGAATAACTTTAATTAATGGGGGGGGGTCTCGCGCAGGATGGAACATGTGTGTCTTGTCATGTTTATGTTCCATATTGATTTTTGTGTGCTTAATAATAAATTATATTGCTAAATGTATTAGCATTCTGAGCTCGCTAATATATATATATATATATATATATATATATATATATATATATATATATATATATATATATATATATTAATAAATATATATATATATATATATATATATATATTTATACATACATACATACATACATACATACATACATACATACATACATACATACATACATACATACATACATACATACATACATACATATACCCACATGTGTGTATATATATATATATATATATATATATATATATATATATATATATATATATATATATATATATATATATATATGTATATTAGATATTGCATTTACAGTTCTGAGTTATTTTCAGTAAGGTCATCTTGTGGCTAGCCATTTCATTGACGACACCCATTTTCTATATCCTGCCGTCCATATTGAAAGTGCCTTCACTTACCAAAACAATACTCGCTGATGCACAGATTAAAGGATAAAAGCAATAATCAGATGCGGAAACTTTCTTTTCTGAAAATCATGCCAGACTGAATATTAAATATTACGTTATTGTCATTTTACATGTTGCAGGAACGCCTCTCCTTGAATTTGTGAAGTTGAAGGAGCCACAGGCAGATCACGTGCTAGGTTGTCGTTTCCGGTGTCCACCCATGAATGCTGGCTATAAATTGGAAGAACGGCTACAGTATACTCGTACCTGGCCAGTTGCTTGCACACGAGGATAATTCAACTTAAGTAGGAACAGTATACACGATAAAGTCGCATACCTGGAAATTGCCAGTAACGCACAATCAGTGGAATTTAGTTTAACGATTTTGAAAAATGGACAAAACTGTAAGTATATCTACATTACATGAGTTCGCGGAGGATATTAGTTTACATTGATGTTACTAAAGCAGCACATCTATAAAAATTACTGAACCAAGAAAAACTATTTTGTCTAATATATGAATTTTGTAATTTGTTTCATGAATAACAGTTACATGAGGTTCTGTTTGTTGCTTTGTGAGCGTCATCAGAGAATATTATTCTTCTCTTTTTACAAATAGTTATTCTTTCTATCGAGCATTTATTTATCGCGTCTTTGATATCATCATACATAAATGAGTACCAGCTTTACTTTAGAAAGTTGCTGCATCAGTATCTTTTATTCTTATTGAATGGAACAGAAGTATATATACATGACTTATGAGCATGTGATTTATCACCGCACGGGTCACTCGCGTTTCTTGCATCTTAAACTTTAACTGTTTGTAAAATGCATAAACCACATGTATAATTGGAAAAAAGTATTAAAAAAATGTTTGTACCATTTGTCTAAGTTTTTGGTATGACTCGGCCGGGGTTGAACCAGCAACCTTCTGCATCAGAGGCGGACGCTCTAACCACTGGACCACTGTATATTGTTTTTTGTGTTTTTATTTCTTGATTTAACACAGATTGTTTGTAACTAGCACCACTCTAACCATTATGGTTGATACATTTAAACTCAGTAGAACAAGAGAATCGTTCAAACATTAAAAAAGAGCATGCACTATTTTCAAGGTTTGACAAGTCAGGTGTTTTTTTTAATGTAAGTGCTGTAATTCTTGTCGTTGATATGACACATAACGTCCCATCCCAAGTGACGTCTTTCACTGGTCACCTGTTCATACTTTAATATGTTAACTTTTCTCCAATGCCACACACCTGATGAACCTCAGGTATCTAAGCACTCTTATAAGTAAGCTGGATAAGTACAAATGGGTCAAGCTGAAATCGATGGGGAGAGCAACGAAATGATTAAGTAATACTTTCTTTATAGATTTTCTTGCCATTAAACTGTGATTAGCATAAACATACATATGAGATAAGAAAACATGTCATCTCTGATAAGCATATCTTTTATAACTGCGTAAAAATCTCAGGTCTGCCTAGCAAAGACTATAAAGAATCTATCATTTTTAAAAGTAAGTACCGTATATACCAGAAATGTAATCATTATTTTGGGCAATTTGGTTGTCGTATTTATTCGTTTATAATATTTCTTCTTGTCTCTGATGAACGGGATATATTGTTCCATATTTTCATTCGACAGCCAATATTCCAATATGTTATTTTATATATAATGGCAAAGTTGGCGACGTTTACAAATCTGTTGTATAAATGATTTCACTATTTGTGGCAGTACGATATAATTCAAATATGAAATAAAAAAAATTAATTTTGTAAGAAGATTAACAAATGATAATTTTATATTTTTATAATTATACTGTGGTGAAAAAGGCCTTACCAAATTGGTTACATACTTACATACAGATGGACAAATGGATTTCTGGATCCAAAGAGCAAATAGGCAGAAAGTTGGTCAGGCGGATAATGGGTATTCAGGTCTTTTTGGACACAGTGAGACTAATTAAGTGACTTTCGTTCAGAACGTTCATGTCAGAAAGGAAGAAATGAAAATGACTCGTTCTTTAGAGTTATGAATTATTTACCGTACATGCTCGCTTATAAGACGATTCCAGCTGCAGAAACGGTTCTGTAAAGATTGTTAGGAGTAATCAGTAGAAAAAACAAAGAGTACCCTTATCTGTGGGCGCATTATGCTACTGTAGATCAGGATTTTTGCAGTTTAATTCGGCTTTTAGACAAGTATAGACGGTAGTTTACAAACCAGTTGTTTATAAAAGGAAAAATGATGCAATTTAGAACTCAAGAAAGGACTCTAATTACTACGGCTGCTTTAAACTTATGCAACTTTTTTCTCGTGGGTAAATTAAACTTTTTTCTCGTAGGTAATACTTTTCTCATTAGCGTCAATGAAAAGCGTTATGACTTGAGTCTCGGTTGCGCACTTGTAGCGATGTGTGGGGTGCGTTGTGCCCAGTACTGTACACACACGCCCAGTGGATCGTATCGTTTTTATCTTAGTCGTAACTGTTTGATTATGATTTCACTCCCATCCCTTAAATTCGTTAAGTAACTTAATCGCAAATCTTAACGGCACTATTTTCAATTGTTCTTTACTACAAGTTATCTTTTTTTTTTCTCAAATAGACATGCTTATCTAAGACAAATCTTTCTGGTGTCCGAACCTTTCAAGTATGTTCTTTAAATCTATAGACAGAATTTAGAGTAGTTGTTGTGTTGTTGTTGTGTTTGTTTTTCTTTTACATGCAAAACACAGCTAAAATACTCTTAGTCATTTAAATGGTTTGTAATTGTGTAGAAAGAGTTGGGATTGATTGGTCTATCGCATTATCGCATATTTCAACTAATACTAAACAAATACCGTATATGCCTGGAGACAGTCCCTTATTTGCACAGTGTGATATGGTCGTCTTTAGATTAGGGCTTAGGTCGTATATTGGGACAGAGAGAGAGAGAGAGAGAGAGAGAGAGAGAGAGAGAGAGAGAGAGAGAGAGAGAGAGAGAGAGAGCTTTTTTGAAAGTCATGTATGTATGTATGTATGTATGTATGTATGTATGTATGTATGTATGTATGTATGTATGTATGTATGTATGTATGTATGTATGTATGTATGTATGTATGTATGTATGTATGTATGTATGTATGTATGTATGTATGTATGTATGTATGTATGTATGTATGTATGTATGTATGTATGCATGCATGCATGTATGTATGTATGTATGTATGCACGCACTCACGCGCATACGTATGCATGTATGAAACAGTCGCAACTTCTCTCTCAGTTGAATTAAGTCTTTAAAATTTAAAGTTAATTTTTATCTCACTTAGCATTAATCTCATCCCTAGCATCCGTTTTCAATATGTTTTTTTTTAAAAAAAATAATACAACCAATCCCAAGTTTTTATTCACTGCATTCATGGCAGTTGTCTAATCATAGATTCAGCATACAAGTAAAAAAAAAATCATTACAAGTTAAGTGCATCACTCAATAAAGACCGTCTGATGCAGATGCGATGTATCGGCATAGAGCTCATGTTCGTTGCCGATGTTCAATTCTTGAATCATTTCGTTTCTTTTAACGGCCCTTCTTTTGATATATTTTTCTTTGTATTAAAAGATCACTTATTGACCTAAAGACAACCATTCGATCAGAGACAACTTTTTTGTTCATTTCTTGTACAAACTAACGGCAAACTTTCTCCATCAATATAACGTTGATATTTTATTTGTGAAACCGAACTAAACTGCTGCTGAGTTTATGAGATCGCGAATTCGGATTTGCCATTCATTTCCGAAATTTCTTTGAAATTTGTATATGTTTTTTTCACGCTTTCTATTAATAAATGCGAAATGCAATTTAAATGGTGAGAAAATTTTCTGCATTTGACTTCACTGTCATAGAGACGTTTCGTCTCGAATGAACGATTCATCCTCCGAATTTCATAATAATATTAGAATTAAACAATGAATGCAAAATGTGGGGTCGTTCTTGACAAGGTTGAGCTTTTTTTTTACATCAAGAAAGTGATAATGATTATAAACCTATCGAATTTAGATAACCTTTAATTCTGACTTGACATAAGTATTATGAATTAAACACCTTGCATGAACAAAACGAATTAAGTCAAGGTCTTTTGGTTTCAGTACAACCCACGTAAAAATGCAAGATAAACACCTATTTTTGGATTTTCTTGAGAATTATCATATTCAATTAAAGAAGATCAACACAGTTATGTTGATGATTGCAAACTTTGACCAAAATGTGATTTATATCACGACCTGATGTTACTTTTTGAAATGTAAGACATATTAAGAGTTTTGAAAAAGCATTATATTAACTCCTATATCTTCATTTGCGTGAAAAAATATAGAATGCATTTTGGGTACATCACTTGTGGATAAAGAAGTATATGCTCTAAAATTTAATTTATTGCTATGCACACCAATTATTATCGACTTTAAAGTATATTCAAATCCTCATTACAGATGAGTCATTATCGGTCTTAAGAATGTCAAAAAGTATGACTGAAACAAAAATCTAATTTTATTGTCATATACGTAAACTGTTTATTCACTTGTACAAACAAACATGCAAGAAAACATTCACGTATACCATTTTCTTTCTTAAACATTTAAAACAATTATACAAGCGAATGAAAGTGAGAACCAAATCATGATGGATTAATATCTTGTGTCTGTCATAGATATTTGAACCTGGAATACAGACACCGATGTTTACTGATTGATCTTGCTTGTGTCCACAAGCAAAGCATTGACGTAATGGGAAATGTCGCCTGATTGTTAAAATATCCCAACTTGCTCTGAGTAATGTTTAAGATTTTCAACTTTTAATTATTATTTCTTGAGGGGTGGGTGGGATTTAGGTAGATGTTAGGAAATTTTATTTGTCAAGGTCTTTTGGGTGTCCAGTGAAACTGACTGACATACATACAAGTAAACAAACAAAGCCCTGCTGTTAAAGAGTATCTGAGTTTTTAATTTGAGGATGATCTCTTCTTAAAGAGCAGAAAACAGCTCCATTTTCGTACCAATTTAATTGGCTGAGAATAAAAACAAATGTTACAAAATTACACAGTTACAATAAAATAACAGCTTTGATAGCGCTTTTCAAATTGAACAGACTCTCAAATAAAACTATTCCATTTAGTTTTCCATGTCACATTATGAACATATTCTTCTTTAAACAGTCGTCTCTAAAGTCACATGATCGGTATCATATCACTTTTTCCATTTCCTGACACCACTTTTCCGGAAGCATTAATTATTGATAATTCACCGAACCCTCTTCTATAGAAACCATGCTGATCTGTAATGTTAATGATAACTTACATATAATGAATTGAGGAAAGCTATTTGTGTTTGTATGTCTTCCAATACGAAATCTTTGTTAGGTCAGGTGTTAGCGCGCTTCCTTCGTGGGTACTACTAAGTGAATGACACACATATCTATATAAAAAGCTTTTCCTCTCTTGCTTGAACACCATATTTGTGCTTACAGATGTAAATAACGACACATATTATAATGGATAAAAAAATTAAGATAACTTTCGTCAGATTGTATTATTCAATTGGTCGCAAATATAGACTGTGTTGATTCGTATGAATTAAACTGCCATTTTTTAAAACCAAGGCTGAAGATGCCGTCTGTGTGTTATGTTGTTATATCACATATTAATTGATGGTAAAATTTAAAAATACGCAATACATATTTCTTAACACGCCTTTATTAATTTTTTTTTTTACTTCCAGAATTTATTCTGTCTCGCTCTGGTCCATTTACTGTGCCTTATGACCGTGACCTTCTCAATGCCACCCAATGAAATCCGGCGGAGTTACCAAGAGGAATCCCAAAGATACAGAATTCATTTCTGCGAGGATAACGACGTCCTTCATGCGGTTTGCTACCAATGCGGCCGATTTTACGGAAGCAAAAAGCTTTTCGAAGATTGCTGTTTGAC